TGGTTATCGACAAAGTCAAATGGACCATACATTATTCTTTAAGCACTCAAACTCAAGGAAAGCCGCAATATTATTAGTTTATGTGGATGATATCTTCTTGATTGAGAATGTTGAAAAGGAGAATATGATTCTAAGGAAATGTCTTACCAAGGAATTTGAGATCAAATAACTTGATAGATTAAAATATTTGCTTGGAACTGAAGTGGCCCACTCTACAGAGGAATTTTCATTTCACAACAAAAAAATATCAATGATCTTCTTAAAGAAATATGTAAACTAGCTTATAAACCCACATCAACACCAGTAGAGCCAAATCTCAAATTGGGAGAAGCTAAAGATGAATCATATGTGGATAAGGGAGCTTACTAAAGACTTGTGGGAAAATTGATCTACCTTTCCCACACCAGATAAGATATACATTTGATGTAAGCATGGTTATCCATTTCATGCAAAATCCAAAACATACTCATATGCAAGCTGTAGACAGAATACTTCACTATTTTATGGGGAACCTAAGGAAATGGATTCTCTTTAAAAGAGACTGTAGAATAATCCTAGAAGCATATATTGATGTAGATTATGTAGGATCATCAGTTGATAGATGATCTGCCTTAGGATACTGCATATTCCTTAGAGGAAATCTAGTTATATGGAGAGGCAAGAAACAAAATGTGGTGGCAAGATCTAGTGCAAATGCAGAATACAGAGTTATGGCCTTGAGAATATGTGAGCTACTATGGATCAAGATGATTATATAAGACCTAAGGATCAAGTGTAAATGACCCATGAAGCTACATTGTGACAAGAAATTAGTAATCAGCATAGCTCACAGTCCGATTCAGCATGTTAGGACCAAGATCATAGAAGTGGACGAACATTTTAGTAAGGAAAAATTAGACAGTGGTCTTATATGTATCTAACTTGCAGATATTCTTACTAAGGGCCTTGATAACTTAGCTTTTATGAGATTGATTACCAAGGTATGAATGATAGCTCTATATTCTCCAGCTTGAAGAGGAGTGTTAAATCCCAGTCGTCCCTTAGCAGTTGATCCCACGGCTAGGATGGTTGTGGGAGACTCACCTGGATCACGCCGATCTCTTTCCATAGTTAGATGATTGATATAGGAAGGATTATATTAGGGAAATAAAGCATGATTATGTAATTTATTTGTTTCTTTATTAGATATTATGTATAGATCTATAAATAGGATTAGATTTGCGCAATAAAACTAAGCCTTTTCATTCTCCAAATCTCTGAATTCAACAATAGCATCTTCCTTCTTTAGTTGAATAATTTGAGTAGTCATCTTTCCCGTACATGCTAGTGAGCATCTTTGCTAATTGAGACCATTGTAGGTAGTTATGTCCATTCAGTTTGTTTCCAATAATTAAAAGAAGAGAGCCTTCCATTCTTCTCTTAGGGTTTGATGCAGCAGCCTTTGGATTGGAGGTGACGTCTAAAGAAGCCAAAACGTTATCTCTCTCTTGCCATGCCAAATTTAGTCATGGAAGAAAATTGATATTTGGAAATTTGGCTTATATATCTTATTGTTCAGCATACAGTGAATCGACTCTCAAACGTATTCTTCTTATCGTAACGAGGAGAAATGCATTAAGTTTAAATATAACCATACTCCACTAGTTAAGGACCATACTAGATCCCAATGTATAACATCCCGACAGATGAATAATATTCTTCTCCTAAACTAGGAAATAAAATAACATATAATCAGGTCTTTATGATAATAAAGACATATTGGAATGGAAAAATAAAGATAATAATTAGATAGACATCAAATAATAAAACTTATATTTAGGCTAGGGGTGTAAACGAGTTGAGTCGAGCTCGAGTTAGGGGGTGTTCGAGCTCGACTCGCAACTCAAAAACCCAGCTCGAACTCGAGCTCGAGTTGAGCTCAAAAGTCGAGCTCGAGCTCGACTCGCGACACTATATCGAGCTTATCGAGCCGCTCGCGAGCCACTCTCACGAGCCGAGCTTCATCAAGCTCGAACTCGAGCTCGTTTACTAAACGAGCTCGAACTCGAGCTCGAGCTCGACTCGTGAGCTCGATAAGCTCGGCTCGCGAGCCAAAAACAAGTCGAGCTCTAGCCGGCTCGGCTCACTTACACCCCTAATTCAGGCAAATATAGGAATGGAAACATAAAGACAATAATTAAATAAACATCAAACAAGAAAACATATATACAAGTTTCTAGGTAGTCTGGATTAGTAGAACCCATTTCCAAAAATGCTGAAGTCACAAAATCCTCCATTCAATATTCCATCAAAAAGAAATCAGCAAAGCTATCTAAATAGGCAATGAAAACTATGTTGGCTGAGGAGCAATCATTAAAGTTACATAATGAGTTGTAAGTGACGATGTCGACGGAGGAGTAGTAATTAAATCTGTGCAATGAGGGTGCAGGCAATGATGTTGAAAGAGGAGTGGGCATTAAAGTTGCATGGGGAGATGTAGATAATGAAGCTATATCTTCAATGGCCTTTCTCCTTTGGAGGTTGATGGTGCAAACTAAAAGTATATGCCATTATTCTTGAATTGGCATTGGTGTAGGTTAGTGCCATGCCAAGTCATTATGCAAAATATATACCTATCATAAGATATGAGCATTTTATAAAATATGTGCAACTAGGTGTGCATTTGCTCAAACTACACATGGCCCAATAGCTTTTGCTACACATGCAACCTTGGTCGCATGACATTAGATTATGTCTGAGTTGAATCTCACTCTTGTTGTTTTTGAGATCTGAATCTAATTCTTGATTTTATTCACAACTATGAGGTCAATTTGACCGTTGGAATTACATTAGTTTTCATGTTAACCGTTTGATCTGTCTTGATGAAGAACATATAATTGGCACCAATCTTAAGATTCCTAATAAATGCAAATGTCCAATTAGTTCATCTTAAATACTCTCAAAGCCATTATCATATATATCCAATGATCCAATTTAGATCTCAATTAACATTAATCTTTAGACTTGTGGTCTTCATATTTCCATTTGCCTTTAGTAGGGGCATGAAAGTTTAACATGGATCTCAAATATGACATGGTCTGATTCTCCAGCATTGTTGTCAACAACAACAATATCAAGCCTTTATCCCACTACGTGGGGTTGGCTACATGAATCCTTTTTTTCCATTGTGTCCTATTAAAAGTCAAATTCTCGTTTAAATCTAATAAAGAAAGATCATTTCTAATATTTTCTAACCAAGTCTTTTTAGGTCTGCCTCTACCTTTCTTAACATAAGTCAAATCTAATACCTCTACTTTCCTAACCGGGTCATCGGAAGGCTGCCGTTTTATGTGACCAAACCATCTAAGGCGACTCTCTCTAATCTTATCTTCTACTGGAGCTACTCCAACCTTTTCACATATATGCTCATTTCGTATCCTATCTTTAAGGGTAAAGCCACTCATCCACCTGAGCATCCTCATCTCTGCCACACTTAACTTAGTATTATGCTTCTCTTTTAATGTCCAACATTCGGCACCATAAAGCATTGCAGGCCTCACCACCATCTTATAGAATTTTCCCTTAAGTTTGAGAGGTACTTTTTTATCACACAACAAGCCCGATGCATTCCTTCACTTCAACTATCCAACTTGAATTCTGCTGATAATATCCCCATCTATTTCGCCATCACTCTGAACAATAGATTCAAGATATCTAAAATGTATACTCTTATTAATGACTTGATCGTCCAAAGTCACAATCCCCTCACTAGGTCTATTACTACTAAAATTACACTCGATATATTCCATTTTAGATCTACTCAAGCGAAAACCTTTATACTCTAAGATGACCTCCATAATTCAAGTATACCTTCAACTCCCTCTCTAGTCTTATTAACAAGAAGAATATCATCAGCAAAAAGCATACACCAAGGTACATCCTCTTGCAAATGTCTAGGGGACTAAAATACCCTTAACTGAGGGGTATTTAGGTCCAATATGGATCTCGAAGGTGTCATGACTTGTTTATCCACCTTGTATTTTGAGTACCAAGATACCCTTTGTTCTTTTTAGACTTTCTACAAAAGAATATAAATTGGAGGACCAATTTATATGTTTTGAAAATTGCTCAAGATAAGTTTTAATTGTCTGACCAAGGATGTTAAGATTCATGCTGTTATAATTTTCACATGCGGATCTAACATGACGATGGTTCTAGCTCATATACTAGTGGATCATCTCAGGATGATTTGTTTTTTGTTTATCTAACGTACATTTTATCGAGGTACCAAAATACCCTCTATTCAACTGCTTATTGGGAGGTCAGGTAAAGGATCCTCTCCTTAATTCACACATTCTTCATAAAAGTTAATTTTTATTGAATTAATTTTAACTACTTCTCATTTTGAAACTCATTTTCTGACTTGAGTGTCGAAGCATCTTTCAAGGGGAAAAATTATGAGGTTTGCCTGTTAACATGTTATTTTCACTGTTTGTATGCTGAACATCGTATCAGGTTCGAGAAGATCCACTACTCATAACCTTCAAGACTATTTGAAACATAAAAGCCTTTCAATAAATGCATGATTAAGGCTTTCTACATCAAACTTTTCCGCACACCACAGTTGTTACGCACTTGACATGCTTTTTTCAGTTAGTTGAAGGTCAAAATTCTGCTCGTACTCCAAAATAGTAATTAAACAATCAGTTCAATGAATAACCCTTACTTTATTACTTGCAATACAAAAGCGAAGAATTTTTTCAAGGTGCTTTATTAAACTTTTTCAAAATTAGAAGCACGTAAAAAGACTGTAACTAGTGAATGAAACTTCCTTCAGAGACGGGGTTAAGATGGTTGATATGCAGCCTTACCATGTATTACTAAAAAGCCATCTTTGTGAATTTAACTCATGATTCTCATATTATTGCTGCTGGCTTCTTATCTATTAATGAGAATGTAGTTGATCTCATCATTCACTGTAATGTTTGAGGATGACCTACTGAAAGCGCTCTTTCTTTCAGATGGGCATTTTTCTAATGACTGTTTCAATCAGGTATTTGTTTTTAACCTTATGTGTTCAGATAGGAAAACCCTAGCATGTAAATATGTGTCACCGTGCTTTCATGAGCAAGTTAGCTATCTACTTGCATGATTATCGTTGATGCTCAAGTGTGGCTCCATATTATGTATTGTTTAATATATGAAGATCCTTATCTGTTTTTCCGTCCTTTGAAAAAAGATTGTCCATGTAGATTTTAGCATAAATGTTGATTTCGTTATGTTTGATGGTTCCTTTCTAATTTCATTGAGATTTAACAGGAACTCTTGAATGCTCCACGTACGGTTTATTTCAAAAGAGTGTTATTGACTGGAGTTTCTTGTCCTAACCTCCAAAATCACTATTTATTGCATTGTCTATTTCGGATTCTCTACACAATGGATCGTTGTGATACCTCAGGATTTGTCAGTGGAGGTGGCATCGTCTCCAATTGGTTTTAGAATAGCCTTAACTGATTCGTGTTAACAATTGCCCGGAAGTCAGGCTAACTGTTCTTTTCAATATTTTGGTTGATACAAAAAGTTCCATAAGTGATGAGCCATAGCTTCACAAGCTTTGGCTTTGATTGGAATCCTAATGCAAATGCTGCAAATTCTTTCTGGAATCAGAGGAAAGATCCAGTAGGATCTGAATGTGGTGCAGATGTCACATTGCGATTGGACTCCCCTTATTATAATCCAAAATGGTCTCAATTCATAGGGGCAAAGAGGAAGCGCGGTGAACACAAGGGAACTGAGATATTTCCCGATCATGCTTCATTGTCTCTTGGTTTAGGTCATTCATCAAGTTCTTCAGACATCAGCAAGGGGAGCTCAGCAACTGCGTGTACCATAACTTCTGTGAGGGAATCAACTGATGAGGAATCTTCTGCTGATCTGGGATTTAATTTTCAACTTCATCTTGGTAATGATAATGCGTGTAGTCTCAAGAAACGTTCAACAGATGCTCCTAAAGCAACTGAGATTAAACCCATATTTGATCTCCAGTTGTCTCTATCAACTGGATTATCAGAATCTTCGCTCATCAATTCTGTGAAAATAGCTGATGAAGAAGGGTCTGCATCATCTGAATTGAAACTGCACAGTTACCTGTTACCCTCTTCTAAAACCTCTGAATGCGCAAGCGGTTTTCCTGTCGACCCGAACTGTAGTTACCATCTGCTTGCAACCGTTCCAGATCTCTCACCAAACACACAACCAGTGTTGAAAAGTCCAGTTGCCTGTACTTCCGGGACTACCCATTCTCATCAACGCACCACTTCTAACAAAAACTGTCTATTCCAAGGATGCACAAAGGGTGCCAGAGGGGCATCTGGATTGTGCATAGCCCATGGCGGGGGAAGGAGATGCCAGAAATTTGGCTGTCATAAAGGGGCTGAAGGTAAGACTGTTTACTGCAAAGCCCATGGTGGTGGTCGTCGCTGCCAACACCTTGGCTGCACCAAGAGTGCAGAAGGCCGCACTGACTACTGCATTGCCCATGGAGGTGGCCGCCGTTGCAAAAATGAAGACTGTACCCGAGCTGCAAGGGGAAAATCTGGCTTGTGCATTCGGCATGGAGGCGGCAAGAGGTGCCAAAGGGAGAACTGCACAAAGAGTGCTGAGGGTTTCTCTGGTCTTTGCATCTCTCACGGTGGTGGTAGGCGCTGTCAATTTCCATCTTGCACAAAAGGTGCACAAGGGAGTACCATGTTCTGCAAGGCACATGGTGGGGGCAAGAGGTGCACTGTTTTAGGATGCACTAAGGGAGCTGAGGGTAGCACACCATTCTGCAAGGGTCATGGAGGAGGAAAGCGTTGCTCATTTCAGGGTGGACTCTGCTCCAAGAGCGTGCATGGTGGGACGCAGTTCTGCGTCGCTCATGGAGGTGGTAAGAGGTGTGCTTTCCCTGACTGTACTAAGAGTGCAAGAGGGCGTACTGATTATTGCGTGAGACATGGCGGCGGCAAGCGATGCAAATCTGAGGGCTGTGGTAAGAGCGCACAAGGGAGCACCGATTTCTGCAAGGCACATGGTGGTGGCAAGAGATGCGCATGGGGTCAGCCAGGTTCTGATTATGGTGCTTCTGCCCCTCCTTGTGACAGGTTTGCGAGGGGAAAAGTTGGCCTCTGTGGTATACATGGTGCATTGGTGCAGGACAGTTGCATTCATGGAGGTGGCACAATGCAGCCACCTCTTCTCCGGCAACCAATATCAGAAACACCAGAGGTGATTAAAGAAGCTGATTCTGAACATGTTCAAACCTCAAGAACAATGAGCAATGACGAGGGCTTTGTAAGTTTTAGCTCTATGAACTCCCACCAACCTAAGCTTTCTACACTTCCAGAAGGAAGGGTGCATGGAGGACGCCTAATGGCGATGTTATCTAGCTATCCATATACGGGAAAACCTTCCAGCAGTAAGGAGATGGTGGCTAGTGCGGAGCTGAGCACACCTTATGCAATATTGCATGAGTGGATCTGAAGCAAAGACATCCTTATATAATGATTAAGGCTTCATTTGAGATGGTTTTTTTACTGCTTCTTGAAGCAGTTTTTTAGTACATAAATTAAAACTTTTATACTAAAAAATTGCTTTAAGAAACAACAAAAAAGTCATCCCAAATGAAGCCCAATTGTGACGGTCAGATTATATATGTCTATGGTTATTTTTTTCTCTTTATGTTCGTGCTTCTGTTTATTAATGGTGAAATTGTTGTAATAAATGTCTTTTTCATCACTATTATTCTCAATTATATCTGTATGATTTCAAACCCCCATTGTGTAATGAGAATAAGGGGGAATGGCTAGACAGTTCTTGCATTATCAATGATAAAGTTTGGCATTTTCTTGTAGTTCTGAACTCAGTCCAGATTTATAAGTTTCCTCTATCTATCTGAATATTAGGTTATTTTATTGTGAAAGCTTCTTCTTTTAGCCACAAAACTTCTCTTGAGCTTTAGATGTTGCAGCTCTTGCTCGTCGCCTGCTATTTGATGATTTTTGTTCTGTAGCTGTCTCTATAGACGGTTAGAAATCAGTTCATCTTATAAAATGATGCCATCATTTATATTAAAAAGTTTTTTTAATAAATAATAAAAAAATCGTTCCAAGTGAAACCTAAATCTCTTCGATTTGCTTTCAAATAAGTATAATATATAAATAATTTATATTACATTTATCTTAAAAAATTTTAGAGTTTGAAAATATAACTAATCAGAATATCGTATAGTATTTTTTTCCTCTATTTCTCCTTTGGGCCACTACGGTGTTCGGCGCCCGCTTTATTTATGAAGATCTCATCCTTCTTTTCTCTTACAATCTTATATGTTCTTTTCATTATTGAAATGTCTTAAACCTTTTCTCTAAATCCCTTAAATTCAATGCTCCATATTCCTATAATCTACTAAGTTAATTATTACTAATGATGTTTAGGTATTGGACTATCATTTGATTTAGGAGATTATTTCTTCTTATTTATATAGAATAATGTATAAACTAATATTAATCTGCTTAATTAAAATATTTGTGAATCGCCCTTAGGTAGGGGTGTAAATGGGTCGAATTTGAGCAAGCTTGTTGTGTGTTCTTTGTTTGACTCATACGAATTTTTATTTGCTCAAAATTAGCTCGTGTTCAAAATTATTTCTAAACATTATATTTGTCTTCCATTCATTTTAATCTGAATGACTTTACTTTAATTAAAATTATTATAAAAAAATTAAGTTTTTCTTATAAAACAAGCATACATACATAAGCAAATAAATATGAAAAAATTCACAAATTATTATTGCTCAAAATTTCTAATTATAATAACAAATTCAACTCAACAAATAAGTACATTACAAAATTGCAATCTACTTCATTCAAATTGAAAACACTTTGATTCAAATTGGAACTATACCAATTATATATGCATCATAAAGAAGCAAGTATCTTTCAATATTTATTGGAGGACAACAAACCCTCCATGCTAAGTGGTTTGGTAGGCCTTAAAGAGAAGAAATAATGCCCAAAGGGTATTTAACCATAAAAAAACAAAGGAACTCCTATATACACTAGGAAGCACTATATTTCTCAAACAACTATATAATCCTTGGAAAGAAGTTTTGACTAATTATATAGTTAAACTTGAGTAGGACAATAATTTCATCAAAAAATTCTATTTTTTTCTCAAACTACAACATGATTAAATAGGCATTGTTCTTCTTGTTTGAGTTTTTTAATATTTCATTCTTAACAAGGAATTGAAGGATGAACTCGTTAGAAATAAAATGTTAGTAGCTTAAGTTGTTATGTTGAAAATATATTTGGCTCTTGCTAGTTCACATTCCCTATCATCTCGTCTGAGATATAGTCCATTAGAACTTTCATACTTGCTCCTTATGATTTGGTGCATTATGAAGGACTTTTTCTTAGCATTTCTATTTTTAAAGTTGACAATTCATTAAAAAATCAACTAAATTGGATAAGAATCTCTATGCATATTTGATTTAGAAACATCTAAAAGCAAATAGAGGACAATTCAGACTCCAATTTTAGTAAACTTACAATCAAACTGAATGCTTTGATAAGTTGAATCAATCAACATAAGAGTAAGCTGATCCTAGTCTAAACTAACCAAAATCAAACATTTTGAATATATTTAAAAAGTTAAGACATTAATTAAAGGACCTAATGATCTCTAAATCTTGCATGCTTATAATAAAATTGAGTGCTTCAATGAGAAAAATCCAATGATCTAAGATTACTTAATTTTGACATCATTAATGTATTTAAATTATTAAAAGATTATATGTGATAAAGTGAATCAAGATATGTCATCTATTGAAGTGTTTTAAAATAGGGTTATATTTATGAAGCATACTTCTCTAAAAAATTATAAATAGTCCCCACTTTTTATATGATGGGAACCCTATCTGTTGCTTAAGAGAGATCATAGGATTGAAAAATCTTAGAGCTCCATCAATCTATCACTCAATTGTCATCTTCGATCCATTATAGTTAAATCTCCACACTTTAACCACTAACTACGGTCCTGACAACGACCTTTCAAAAATAACTAATTTACTACGATCTTCTAACCACCATCTCTCAACTACAGTCATTGAACAATTGTGACTTGACTATGATCTCTTGACTATCATTGTCTCATTATGGTTTTCTGATCACCGTGGCTTGACAACGTTCATTTGAACATCTTTGCTTGGGCATGGTTCTCCGACCATCTTCACCCAACTACAATCCTCTAATCATCTTTATCTGACTATGCTTCTTAGACTTCCTTCACCCAACTATGGTCTTCCAACCACTATGATCCGATTATGGTCCTTTAACCACTATTGCCCGAGTATGACCTTCTAACAACCATCACTTGATTATGATCCTGTGATCACCATTGTGTTGCTACAATATTTTGATAGACCAACTACGATCCCTCAAACATTGTCACCCACTTATGGCCCTCTAATCACCATAACTCGATTATGATTATTTGTTTACTGTCACCAAACTATAGACCTCCAACCATCGTTACCTGACTATGGCCTCCTAATCACCATTGCCCAACTTTTGTTCTCTAACCATCATCAACTAATTAGTCCTCTAACCACCTTTGTTAGACTACAATACAACCACCATTGACCAACTATAATCTTTAAACCATAGTTACACAATTACAATCTCCCAACTACAGCTGCCCAACTATAGTGTCTCGACCACCATCACTCGACTTCATTCCTCCAACCATTATAGCCTAACTATGATCTCTTGGTCATCATCAATTAACTTTAGCCTTCCAACTACCATCATCAAACTATGATATTTCCACTACCATCACCTAACTATAACCTTCCGTCCACTGATGCCTGATTATAATACTCTGACTCCTATCATCTAACTATTGTTCTCCAACCATTGTCGTTCAACTATGGTCCTCGAACTAGTATCGCCCAGCTACGATCCTCCAACCATTATCATTCGATTATGACCTCTTAACAACTATTGCCCATCTATAATCTCCAAATCATAGTCAACCCATTATAGTCTTTTGACATCGTCTTTAGCTATGTTGACGCTCTCTAACTTTGTTGCCTGCCATCACTATAGCTTCCCACGCTAACTCTGACTTATAATGTCAGCATAAGGATTCATGTCGAACTTTTTGGTCTCTAATCTACCATTCTCAAAGAAAAGCTACAAAACAAATAATAAACAATCTTTAGAAGATAGCTCCGACCCCACAAGGCCTTTTCAACTTCCACCAAGTAATATATTCCATACAATTTATGGCTGCTATATTATATCAATGCCTTCTCCAATAATTGAGAAAGGTGTCTGTTATAACTTTTAACAAATATTAATGAAATATTTCAACTAGAACATGATTCACAATTTTTTTTTTCTATTTTTAGTGGTGCCTTTTATTACCCTTTTTTATTTGTGTGCTTGTTGGAACATCATATAATATTAATCAGGGGCGGAACCCGTTAAGGCCTTAGAAGAATTATGATCTTTAAACAATTGGTCTTTAAAATAAAATGAAAATATTATAATCTTTAAACAATTGTCCCTTAGAAGAATTATGCACATTGTGTAGAGAGGTTATTACAAGGGATTTTAGGCAATTTCCCCTCTAAAAGTTTTAAATTAATATAGTCTTTAGACAATTGCCCCCAGCATAATTAAACACATTGTGTAGATGCGTTATTTTTAGGGAATAATGAAACAAATACAAAGAGAAATAGTAAAGAGAATCCAAAAATATACTCAAAACAAAAATTTGTTCCGGGGGCGCTACCCCTTGACCTCGCGACCTGACTGGGCAGGTCAAACCCCGTCAGAGGGCGCTGCCCCCTTAGACCCCCAACACATTGTGTAGAGGTGTAACCTAATTTTTGTTTAAGAATTATTGTCATTATATAAGATATTGATGATATTTTTAAAATATATTATGTATTCAAGTACAAATAATCATTAGTCATAAATGATATATATATATATATATATATGAAAAATAAAATCTTTACACTTTTGCCCCCCTGAACATTAAGGCTGGTTCCGCCCCTGATATTAATACATTAATCTCTCTCTCTCTCTCTCTCTCTCTCTCTCTCTCTCTCTCATCA